TTTGCTGTTGCTTTACTGCCCCCTTTGTGGAGTGGGGCTATGTATGTTGTTTTTAGTAACTGTTTTTAGTAATTGATGTCAGTTATGGTCTGTATACCTTGCACATGTACTGGTAGTAAATAAAGATATATTATTATTATTATTATTATTATTATTATTATTATTATTATTATTATTATTATTATTATTATATTATTTTATTTTTTTATTATTTATTATTATTATTATTTATATTATTATTTATTATTAATTATTTATATTCAAAGGTAAACAAATAAGACACATGTGCATCAACTGGGTTTCTCTATCACTGAAATATTTCACGTTCATTAGGCTTCATCAGTCATTTTCAAGTATATATAAGACTTGTGGAAAATTTGCTATAATTTTCCTGTAAATAGTAATGTGTATGTGAAGTGTTAATGTAATGTAAATAGGAAGTGTTAAGAGGAGTCACAAACTGCCAAACTAGTGAGGAGGAGGAGGTGGAGGAGTTGTATAGATGGCAGTGTTGGTGACAGGAAGTGTTGGTGACAAGGGGCAGTGTTGATGACAAGGGGTAGTGTTGGTGACAAGGGGTAGTGTTGGTGACAAGGGGCAGTGTTGGTGACAAGGGGCAGTGTTGGTGACAAGGGGCAGTGTTGGTGACAGGAAGTGTTGGTGACAAGGGGCAGTGTTGGTGACAAGGGGCAGTGTTGGTGACAAGGGGTAGTGTTGGTGACAAGGGGCAGTGTTGGTGATAAGGGGCAGTGTTGGTGACAAGGGGCAGTGTTGGTGACAAGGGGCAGTGTTGGTGACAAGGGGCAGTGTTGGTGACAGGAAGTGTTGGTGACAAGGGGCAGTGTTGGTGACAGGAAGTGTTGGTGACAAGGGGCAGTGTTGGTGACAAGGGGCAGTGTTGGTGACAAGGGGCAGTGTTGGTGACAAGGGGCAGTGTTGGTGACAAGGGGCAGTGTTGGTACAAGGGGCAGTGTTGGTGACAGGAAGTGTTGGTGACAAGGGGCAGTGTTGGTGACAGGAAGTGTTGGTGACAAGGGGCAGTGTTGGTGACAAGGGGCAGTGTTGGTGACAAGGGGCAGTGTTGGTGACAAGGGGCAGTGTTGGTAACAAGGGGCAGTGTTGGTGACAAGGGGCAGTGTTGGTGACAAGGGGCAGTGTTGGTGACAAGGGGCAGTGTTGGTAACAAGGGGCAGTGTTGGTGACAAGGGGCAGTGTTGGTAACAAGGGGCAGTGTTGATGACAAGGGGCAGTGTTGGTAACAAGGGGCAGTGTTGATGACAAGGGGCAGTGTTGGTAACAAGGGGCAGTGTTGGTGACAAGGGGCAGTGTTGGTAACAAGGGGCAGTGTTGGTGACAAGGGGCAGTGTTGGTGACAAGGGGCAGTGTTGGTAACAAGGGGCAGTGTTGGTAACAAGGGGCAGTGTTGGTGACAAGGGGTAGTGTTGGTAACAAGGGGCAGTGTTGGTGACAAGGGGTAGTGTTGGTGACAAGGGGTAGTGTTGGTAACAAGGGGCAGTGTTGGTGACAAGGGGCAGTGTTGGTACAAGGGGCAGTGTTGATGACAAGGGGCAGTGTTGGTAACAAGGGGCAGTGTTGATGACAAGGGGCAGTGTTGGTAACAAGGGGCAGTGTTGGTGACAAGGGGCAGTGTTGGTAACAAGGGGCAGTGTTGGTAACAAGGGGCAGTGTTGGTGACAAGGGGTAGTGTTGGTAACAAGGGGCAGTGTTGGTGACAAGGGGCAGTGTTGGTGACAAGGGGTAGTGTTGGTAACAAGGGGCAGTGTTGGTAACAAGGGGCAGTGTTGGTGACAAGGGGCGGGCAGTGTTGGTGACAAGGGGTAGTGTTGGTAACAAGGGGCAGTGTTGGTAACAAGGGGTAGTGTTGGTAACAAGGGGCAGTGTTGGTAACAAGGGGCAGTGTTGGTAACAAGGGGCAGTGTTGGTAACAAGGGGCAGTGTTGGTAACAAGGGGCATGTGTTGGTAACAAGGGGCAGTGTTGGTAACAAGGGGCAGTGTTGGTGACAAGGGGCAGTGTTGGTAACAAGGGGCAGTGTTGGTGACAAGGGGCAGTGTTGGTAACAAGGGGCAGTGTTGATGACAAGGGGCAGTGTTGGTAACAAGGGGCAGTGTTGATGACAAGGGGCAGTGTTGGTAACAAGGGGCAGTGTTGGTGACAAGGGGCAGTGTTGGTAACAAGGGGCAGTGTTGGTAACAAGGGGCAGTGTTGGTAACAAGGGGCAGTGTTGGTGACAAGGGGCAGTGTTGGTAACAAGGGGCAGTGTTGGTGACAAGGGGCAGTGTTGGTAACAAGGGGCAGTGTTGTTGACAAGGGGCAGTGTTGGTAACAAGGGGCAGTGTTGATGACAAGGGGCAGTGTTGGTAACAAGGGGCAGTGTTGATGACAAGGGGCAGTGTTGGTAACAAGGGGCAGTGTTGATGACAAGGGGCAGTGTTGGTAACAAGGGGCAGTGTTGGTGACAAGGGGCAGTGTTGGTAACAAGGGGCAGTGTTGGTGACAAGGGGCAGTGTTGGTAACAAGGGGCAGTGTTGGTAACAAGGGGCAGTGTTGGTAACAAGGGGCAGTGTTGGTAACAAGGGGCAGTGTTGGTAACAAGGGGCAGTGTTGATGACAAGGGGCAGTGTTGGTAACAAGGGGCAGTGTTGGTGACAAGGGGCAGTGTTGGTGACAAGGGGCAGTGTTGGTAACAAGGGGCAGTGTTGGTAACAAGGGGCAGTGTTGGTAACAAGGGGCAGTGTTGGTGACAAGGGGCAGTGTTGGTAACAAGGGGCAGTGTTGGTGACAAGGGGCAGTGTTGGTAACAAGGGGCAGTGTTGATGACAAGGGGCAGTGTTGGTAACAAGGGGCAGTGTTGATGACAAGGGGCAGTGTTGGTAACAAGGGCAGTGTTGTGACAAGGGGCAGTGTTGGTAACAAGGGGCAGTGTTGATGACAAGGGGCAGTGTTGGTAACAAGGGGCAGTGTTGGTGACAAGGGGCAGTGTTGGTAACAAGGGGCAGTGTTGGTGACAAGGGGCAGTGTTGGTAACAAGGGGCAGTGTTGGTAACAAGGGGCAGTGTTGGTAACAAGGGGCAGTGTTGGTACACAAGGGGGCAGTGTTGATGACAAGGGGCAGTGTTGGTAACAAGGGGCAGTGTTGGTGACAAGGGGCAGTGTTGGTGACAAGGGGCAGTGTTGGTAACAAGGGGCAGTGTTGATGACAAGGGGCAGTGTTGGTAACAAGGGGCAGTGTTGATGACAAGGGGCAGTGTTGGTAACAAGGGGCAGTGTTGGTGACAAGGGGCAGTGTTGGTAACAAGGGGCAGTGTTGGTGGCAAGGGGCAGTGTTGGTAACAATTGGCAGTGTTGGTGACAAGGGGCAGTGTTGGTAACAAGGGGCAAGTGTTGATGACAAGGGCAGTGTTGGTAACAAGGGGCAGTGTTGGTGACAAGGGGCAGTGTTGGTAACAAGGGGCAGTGTTGATGACAAGGGGCAGTGTTGGTAACAAGGGGCAGTGTTGGTGACAAGGGGCAGTGTTGGTGACAAGGGGCAGTGTTGGTGAGACAGGTGTGGAAGGCTGACTGCTGGTCATCTTGGCCCTTTTTTTGACCCCAGGGGAAAGGTCATAAAAGGAAAACTGAATGTGAGTGATTACGGCCCTGGTGGCCGTCCTGGGAGGTGTACAGCAGAAGAGGGGCGTTAGTGTACATCAGTACTCCAGCCTAGAGAGCACATGCGATTTCAAAAAAATGATAATGGGTTTGGCATCCCTTGTTTTGAAGGTTCTCATTATCCATCCTATCATTTTCCTAGCAGATGAGGCAGATACATTGTTGTGGTCTTTGAAGGCGAGATCCTCTGACATTATCACTCCCAGGTCCTTCACATTACTTTTCCGCTCTATTGTATGGTTAGAATTTGTTGTATACCCTGACACATTTTTAATTTCTTCAAGTTTTCCATACCTGAGTAGTTGAAATTTCTCCTCGTTGATCTTCATATTGTTTTGAGTGGCCCATTCCAAGATTTGGATTTAGTTCTCTCAATGAATTTGGAAATTGCCGAATCTTCAAATGAAATTAGCTCAGGTGTAACTGAAGCTGTATTATCATAAATTGATGAAGTTCACACCACATGTAATGTACGCCTCCCAGTGTATTAATTCTCACTACAGGTATTTTAATTTATATTGGCCAATATGAATTGCCTGGCGAGAGGGAGGCATTAGGATATGACACCAAAATCTTAATTTGGTGACTAATGTTGAAATGTCCTTAATCACCAGAGTAGCTGGTTTTAATATAATTATTAATTTAATATCAAGTCAAGCTTTTTGTGAAAGTAGCGAGGAAGTGGGCAGTCGAAGGAGTGGCAGTTCAGTGGCCTAGTGTGACTTAAGTCCCACTTACCTCAACCAAATTACTTGCAGGTAATAATGCCTTGGAAGCCTCCTGCAGGTGATTTGCTAATAATATTAATAATTTTTCACAAGACTGGAGAATGTAGAAGTAATTTTGAAGTGATCAGTTCCTCAGCGCTGATAGGTGGTGATCAGTCCCTCAGCCTAAAGCAGAGACATGCAGTAGACTTTATACTGGAGCACAAATCAGGTGTAGCAGCTGGAGGTGACATCACAGGTGGGTGTGGCCTACTAGTGGAAGTAGTTCAGTATTTGTATTTGACTGAAGAAGCTTGCTATACAGAAGAAATACTTCGGCATTTAAAGATACCCAAGTGTTGCATACGTGTCTTATTCCTCTTCTAGCCTCATACAAAACTAGGTATGACCTCTGCATTCTTCCATTATTTTCTTCAGCGCTGAAACAGAATCCTTAGCAATCTCGACAAACTTTAGTCAAACATTTTCCATGTTTCTTTAAGTTGCTGTCTGTACGAACCTTATGGGATTAATGCTTAGTTATAATTATAATGGAAGGTGCTGTGATGCTCTTAGAAATGGTATACCAAAACGAGAACACACGAGAGTTAGAGAAGTATACCTGAGGAAGTCGTCGCCATGTTGTATGACATACTCGATCCACCATACAGCCTTCTCCAGGCCTGTCTCCTTCTGCGCCTTCAGTCGCCTCGACACACCTGCTATACGCTCCTTGTACCTAAGACAGGTAGATGGTACAACACAAGAGATTTTACCTTCAAAAACTATAATAATTTGGATTTTAACTCTTGAAAGGTATATAGGCAGGCCCCGCTTCACAGTGCTTTCCTTTACAGTGCTTTGCTTTACGGTGTTTTGCTAATGCAGCAGTTTTGAATTATAGTCATTCTTCATTTATTCAGACTTGCTACAATAAATATATTCTCCGCTCACTATAAGCTAAGGACTAAAACATTTTAAGGGAAGTAATGTGTGTATTGTATGTACATTTTTAAAGCCTAGCTCTATTGCTCACTTATATGATAATGTAAACATGTTATCAGACTTTTATAGGCATTTGAAAGTGAAAAATTTCTATGTTTCAGTTTACAGCGATTTTTGCTTAACAGCAGTAGCCCAGAATCTAACCTGCTGTACAAGCGGGGCCTTCCTGTACTTATACAAGTAGTCTTCAACCATTATACTCAGGTATGCTGTCCCCAATGATGACAAATATTTAAATATGATTGCTCTAATCAGAATTTATTGTTGATATTGAGGAACGTGGGAAGTAACAGTCGCTGAATTGATTATGAGGATTATATTTATTATTATTATTATTATTATATTATTATTATTATTATTATTATTATTATTATTATTATTATTATTATTATATTATTTATTCTCTTTCACATCTCATTTTTTACTTCTCTATTCAACACTATGTAATTAACACTTCACCATAACACTTAATCTACTCCTACTTCTCTCTCATCTTCATCTTCTTCTTCTCTAATACCTAACTAACCTCTACTCAATCTCACTAAACAGGTATCATCATGCTTTAAGCAGACATAAACATCAGCACACAGCAACACATACAGACAACACTACAGCGGCCACTCCTACTCACACCGACTCAACTAGTTACAACTACGTAGTCATTCACACATCACCATAACACACACTAACACCAATACCTCTCTCACTTGTCACCATCATTAGGTCATACACTACTGCATTCCTTACCACATCACTATTCATCACAACTCTCACTCATTCTTTAACTCTCTCACTCATTCTTTACACTCCTCACTCATTCTCTTACACTCTTTACTCATTCTCTTCACTCCTACTCATTTCTTACACCTCTCACTCATTCTCTTAACACTCTCTCACTCATTCTTTACACTCTCTCACTCATTCTCTTACACTCTCTACTCATTCTCTTACACTCTCTACTCATTCTCTTACACTCTCTCACTCATCTCTTACACTCTCTCACTCATTCTCTTACACTCTCTTACTCATTCTCTTACACTCTCTCTACTCATTCTCTTACACTCTCTTACTCATTCTCTTACACTCTCTCACTCATTCTCTTACACTCTCTCACTCATTCTCTTACACTCTCTCACTCAATCTCTTACACTCTCTCACTCATTCTCTTACACTCTCTACTCATTCTCTTACACTCTCTCACTCATTCTCTTACACTCTCTCACTCATTCTTTACACTCTCTCACTCATTCTCTTACACTCTCTTACTCATTCTCTTACACTCTCTTACTCATTCTCTTACACTCTCTTACTCATTCTCTTACACTCTCTTACTCATTCTCTTACACTCTCTCACTCATTCTCTTACACTCTCTCACTCATTCTCTTACACTCTCTTACTCATTCTCTTACACTCTCTTACTCTTTCTCTTACACTCTCTACTCATTCTCTTACACTCTCTCACTCATTCTCTTACACTCTCTCACTCATTCTCTTACACTCTCTTACTCATTCTCTTACACTCTCTTACTCATTCTCTTACACTCTCTTACTCATTCTCTTACACTCTCTCACTCATTCTCTTACACTCTCTCTCATCCTACACTCTTATCACTACACTCTCTCACTCATTCTCTTACACTCTCTTACTCATTCTCTTACACTCTCTTACTCATTCTCTTACACTCTCTCTCATTCTCATACTCTTACATTCTCTAACTCCATCTTTTACACTCTCTCACTCATTCTCTTACACTCTCTTACTCATTCTCTTACACTCTCTTACTCATTCTCTTACACTCTCTCACTCATTCTTTTACACTCTCTCACTCATTCTTTTACACTCTCTCACTCATTCTCTTACACTCTCTCACTCATTCTCTTACACTCTCTTACTCATTCTCTTACACTCTCTCACTCATTCTCTTACACTCTCTCACTCATTCTCTTACCTCTCTTACTCATTCTCTTACACTCTCTCACTCATTCTCTTACACTCTCTTACTCATTCTCTTACACTCTCTCACTCATTCTCTTACACTCTCTCACTCATTCTCTTACACTCTCTATCATTCTCTTACACTCTCTCACTCATTCTCTTACACTCTCTTACTCATTCTCTTACACTCTCTTACTCATTCTCTTACACTCTCTCACTCATTCTCATACACTCTCTACTCATTCTCTTACACTCTCTTACTCATTCTCTTACACTCTCTCACTCATTCTCTTACACTCTCTCACTCATTCTCTTACACTCTCTCACTCATTCTCTTACACTCTCTTACTCATTCTCTTACACTCTCTTACTCATTCTCTTACACTCTCTCACTCATTCTCTTACACTCTCTTACTCATTCTCTTACACTCTCTTACTCATTCTCTTACACTCTTCATCATTCTTTTACACTCTCACTCATTCTCTTACACTCTCTCACTCATTCTCTTACACTCTCTTACTCATTCTCTTACACTCTCTTACTCATTCTCTTACACTCTCTCACTCATTCTCTTACACTCTCTTACTCATTCTCTTACACTCTCTTACTCATTCTCTTACACTCTCTTACTCATTCTCTTACACTCTCTCACTCATTCTTTTACACTCTCTCACTCATTCTCTTACACTCTCTCACTCATTCTCTTACACTCTCTTACTCATTCTCTTACACTCTCTCACTCATTCTCTTACACTCTCTTACTCATTCTCTTACACTCTCTCACTCATTCTCTTACACTCTCTTACTCATTCTCTTACACTCTCTCACTCATTCTCTTACACTCTCTCACTCATTCTCTTACACTCTCTTACTCATTCTCTTACACTCTCTCACTCATTCTCTTACACTCTTTTCACTCATTCTCTTACACTCTCTCACTCATTCTCTTACACTCTCTTACTCATTGTCTTACACTCTCTCACTCATTCTCTTACACTCTCTTACTCATTCTCTTACACTCTCTCACTCATTCTCTTACACTCTCTCACTCATTCTCTTACACTCTCTTACTCATTCTCTTACACTCTCTTACTCATTCTCTTACACTCTCTTACTCATTCTCTTACACTCTCTCACTCATTCTCTTACACTCTCTCACTCATTCTCTTACACTCCCCACTCATTCTCTTACACTCTCTCACTCATTCTCTTACACTCTCTCACTCATTCTCTTACACTCTCTCACTCATTCTCTTACACTCTCTCACTCATTCTCTTACACTCTCTCACTCATTCTCTTACACTCTCTCACTCATTCTCTTACACTCTCTCACTCATTCTCTTACACTCTCTCACTCATTCTCTTACACTCTCTCACTCATTCTCTTACACTCTCTTACTCATTCTCTTACACTCTCTCACTCATTCTCTTACACTCTCTCACTCATTCTCTTACACTCTCTCACTCATTCTCTTACACTCTCTCACTCATTCTCTTACACTTTTCTCACTCATTCTCTTACACTCTCTCACTCATTCTCTTACACTCTCTAACTCATTTACTCACTCTCACACCATGAATATAAATAATGCATAACTCACCTTGCATCATGCACGAGAGTGTGTACAGCATCAGCAATGGCCTGAGGTGTGAGAGTCTCCCACTGCAGCACGATGCCCTCCCCTCTCCTAGCTACTCGGGCACAGGTCCTGGGCTGGTCGAAGGTAATGGGGAGCCCCAGCATGGGCACCCCATGATAAACTGACTCAGCAGCACTTTGCTTCCCACAATGGGTGATGAACACTTTTGTTGCCTTGTGTCCTGTAAGATTGAGAGGTTAAGTCAGTTTATTTAGGTACAGGTACACATAAATACATTCCCCATCAGTAAAATGGGTACATGGGTGTTAGTCGACTGGTGTGGGTCGCATCATGGGTGTTAGTGGACTGTTGTGGGTCGCATCATGGGTGTTAGTCGACTGGTGTGGGTCGCATCATGGGTGTTAGTCGACTGGTGTGGGTCGCATCATGGGTGTTAGTGGACTGTTGTGGGTCGCATCATGGGTGTTAGTCGACTGGTGTGGGTCGCATCATGGGTGTTAGTGGACTGTTGTGGGTCGCATCATGGGTGTTAGTCGACTGGTGTGGGTCGCATCATGGGTGTTAGTGGACTGGTGTGGGTCGCATCATGGGTGTTAGTCGACTGGTGTGGGTCGCATCATGGGTGTTAGTGGACTGGTGTGGGTCGCATCATGGGTGTTAGTGGACTGGTGTGGGTCGCATCATGGGTGTTAGTGGACTGGTGTGGGTCGCATCATGGGTGTTAGTGGACTGGTGTGGGTCGCATCATGGGTGTTAGTGGACTGTTGTGGGTCGCATCATGGGTGTTAGTGGACTGGTGTGGGTCGCATCATGGGTGTTAGTGGACTGTTGTGGGTCGCATCCTGGGTGTTAGTGGACTGGTGTGGGTAGCATCCTGGGTGTTAGTGGACTGGTGTGGGTCGCATCCTGGGTGTTAGTGGACTGGTGTGGGTCGCATCCTGGGTGTTAGTGGACTGGTGTGGGTCGCATCCTGGGTGTTAGTGGACTGGTGTGGGTCGCATCATGGGTGTTAGTGGACTGGTGTGGGTCGCATCCTGGGACAAAACTGACCTAATTTGCCCAAGAGGCTCTGCATAACAATGGGCATTTTATATAGTAGTATGTCATTGATGTCAACTAGGCCTGTATACCTTGTATATGTACTTGTAGAAATATAGACTATTATTATTATTAAATATTTCTGGATTTTTAACCCGAGTTAGGGAGGGTTAGCCACCCAGGATAACCCAAGAAGTCAGTGCATCATCGAGGACTGTCTGTCTTATTTCCACTGTGACCTGCTGTATGGCCCTTGTGCTTTAGCGCTTCTTTTTTTTATTATAATAATAATCCATTGTGTCCTCAGTCTTGTCCCCCAGGATGAAATGAGCCAGAATTAAAAATAATATATATATTTAGCACTGAAAAGCAAAAATTTATGTATATTACTTAAGATACCCTTTTAAACATCCATTTTCTTTCATACATTAAAAGAGAAAATGGGTTCATAGAGGAATAATTTTCTCAGTATAAGTAATTAGTAAATAAGTAAGAAAGTAGGTAAACGAGTAAGTAAATATGTTAATAATTAAATAAATGAGAGAGTAAGTAAGCTTAAAGCCTCGTACAAGATCTGAAACTTTTTGCAATGGTTTTTATTCAGTAAATTATATAGAATTAACTCAATTAACTCATTCAAGGATTAGACGTCCCTTGACAACGTAATATACACACTCAGAAGCTCACAGTGCCCTTATCATAGGGCTGCCCCCGCCATAGGGCTGTAAACGGTTCTCCACTTGCACGTAAATAGTTAATTACCACTGTAACTTGTCCAGTTATCGACACTTAGGCCCAGTCCCTGGACCCATTATGTGCCTCTGTAATACCGCTCACAGGATGAGTATGGGGTGCATAATAAAGATGTTAAACTTGTTCAAACTCTGATGCTCCTTCGGGAGCCACTGGCGGGTCACCACATGAAGAAGACCCGGGCCAGGACCCGTCTTGGTAAACCTACATCAACATTTTCTGAGAAGCTTAACAATTCGCAAACGGGCGAACTTTTAACAAACATCTCTCAGCAGGACTGAGTGTCCCCCTGAGGTGGAAGACTTCAGTAGTGTCACCCTGAACTGGAAGGCTTCAGTGGTGTCAGCCTGAATTGGAAGGCTTCAGTAGTGTCAGCCTGAACTGGAAGGCTTCAGTAGTGTCAGCCTGAACTGGAAGGCTTCAGTAGTGTCAGCCTGAACTGGAAGACTTCAGTAGTTTACCTGGAGAGAGTTCCGGGGGTCAACGCCCCCGCGGCCCAGTCTGTGACCAGGCCTCCTGGTGGATCAGAGCCTGATCAACCAGGCTGTTACTGCTGGCTGCACGCAATCCAACGTACGAGCTACAGCCCGGCTGGTCAGGTACCGACTTTAGGTGTTTGTCCAGTGCCAGCTTGAAGACAGCCAGAGGTCTATTGGTAATCCCCCTTATGTATGCTGGGAGGCAGTTGAACAGTCTCGGGCCCCTGACACTTATTGTATTGTCTCTTAACGTGCTAGTGACACCCTTGCTTTTCATTGGGGGGATGTTGCATCTCCTGCCGAGTCTTTTGCTTTCGTTGTAAGTGATTTTCGTGTGCAAGTTCGGTACTAGTCCCTCTAGGATTTTCCAGGTGTATATAATCATGTATCTCTCCCGCCTGCGTTCCAGGAAGTACAGGTTCAGGAAATTCAAGCACTCCCAGTAATTGAGGTGTTTTATCTCCGTTATGCGCGCTGTGAAGGTTCTCTGTACATTTTCTAGGTCAGCAATTTCACCTGCCTTGAAAGGTGCTGTTAGAGTGCAGCAATATTCCAGCCTAGATAGAACAAGCGACCTGAAGAGTGTCATCATGGGCTTGGCATCCCTAGTTTTGAAGGTTCTCATTATCCATCATGTCATTTTTCTAGCAGATGCGATTGATACAATGTTATGGTCCTTGAAGGTGAGATCCTCCGACATGATCACTCCCAGGTCTTTGACGTTGGTTTTTCGCTTTATTTTGTGGCCAGAATTTGTTTTGTACTCTGATGAAGATTTAATTTCCTCATGTTTACCATATCGGAGTAATTGAAATTTCTCATCGTTGAACTTCATATTGTTTTCTGCAGCCCACTGAAAGATTTGGTTGATGTCCGCCTGGAGCCTTGCAGTGTCTGCAATGGAAGACACTGTCATGCAGATTCGGGTGTCACCTGCAAAGACACGGTGCTGTGGCTGACATCCTTGTCTATGTCAGATATGAGGATGAGAAACAAGATGGGAGCGAGTACTGTGCCTTGTGGAACAGAGCTTTTCACCGTAGCAGCCTCGGACTTTATTCTGTTGACTACTACTCTTTGTGTTCTGCTTGTGAGGAAATTATACATCCATCTACCAACTTTCCCTGTTATTCCTTTAGCACGCATTTTGTGCGCTATTACGCCATGGTCACACTTGTCGAAGGCTTTTGCAAAGTCTGTATATATTACATCTGGATTCTTTTTGTCTTCTAGTGCATCTAGGACCTTGTCATAGTGATCCAGTAGCTGAGACAGACAGGAGCGACCTGTTCTAAACCCATGCTGCCCTGGGTTGTGTAATTGATGGGTATCTAGATGGGTGGCGATCTTGCTTCTTAGGACCCTTTCAAAGATTTTTATGATATGGGATGTTAGTGCTATCGGTCTGTAGTTCTTTGCTTTTGCTTTACTTGCTTAGTGGCAGCCCGAACTGGAAGGCTTCAGTAGGACGATGAGGATATCGTCAAGCATTCCATTTATGTATCAGTAACTACGGCAGCTTTAGTAAAAAAAGAATCATTCTTTTTCGTTAGAGTCGTTTCAAGTTATAGGGTCGTAATTGTAAACAGAATAAAGTCTGAGGCGGCTACAGTGAAAAAATCTGTTCCACAAGGCACAGTACTCGCCCCCATCCTGTTCCTTATCCTCATATCGGACATAGACAGAGATGTAAACCACAGCACCGTGTCTTCCTTTGCGGATGACACCCGAATTTACATGACAGTGTCCTCTTAAATGGGCCGCAGAAAACAATATGAAATTCAGTGAGGAGAAATTTCAATTACTCCGATATGGAAAACCTGAGGAAATTAAAACTATATAGGAGTATAAAACAAACTCTAACCACACAACAGAGCGAAAAACTAATGTGAAGGACCTGGGAGTGATAATGTCAGAGGATCTCACTTTCAAAGATCACAACAATGTATCTACCACATCTGCTAGAAAAATTATAGGATGGATAATGAGAACCTTCAAAACTAGGGATGCCAAGCTTGTTCTCTCTAGGCTGGAATATTGCTGTACACTAACGGCCCCTTTCAAGGTGGGCAAAATTGCTGAACTGGAGAATGTACAGACAATCTTCACGGCACACATAAGTACAATAAAGCACCTAAATTACTGGGAACGGTTGAAGTCCCTTGACTTGCATTCCCTGGGATGCAGGCGAGAAAGATACATGATAATATACACTTGGAAAAACCTAATTTCCACATAACAGTCACTCTCTACGAAAGCAAAAGACAGGGCAGGAGATGAAATATTCCCTCAATGAAAAACAGAGGTGCCATGAGTAGGCTAAGAGACAACACAATAAGTGTCAAGGGCCCAAGACTGTTCAGCTGCCTCCCAGCATACATAAGGGGGTTTACCAATAGACTCCTGGCTGTCTTCGAGAAGGTGCTGGACAGGCACCTAAAGTCAGTAACTGCCCAGCCAGGCTGTGGTTCGTACGTTGGTTTGTATGTGACCAGCAGTAACAGCCTGGTTGACCAGACCCTGATCCACCACGAGGCCTGGTCACTGACCGGACCGCGGGGGCATTGACCCCCGAAAACCTCTCCAGATATACTCCAGATACTGACCTTTGTTTTAAGTTCAGTGTTCATACCTAACATTCTTTCAAGTTCTATTCACATATCTAACCCTGTTTCAAGTTTTACATGGAGTATATCCGGAGAGAGAATTCTAGGGGTCAACGCCCCCGAGGCCCGGTCTGTGACCAGGCCTCATGGGGATCAGGGCCTGATCAACAAGGCTGTTACTGCTGGTCGTACGCAATCCAACGTACTAACCACAGCCCGGCTGGTCAGGTACTGACTTTAGGTGCCTGTCCAGTGCCTGCTTGAAGACTGCCAGGGGTCTATTGGTAATCCCCCATATGTATGCTGGGAGGCACTTGAACAGTCTTGGGCCCCTGATACTTATT